TAGCGGAAACATCTCAGAATCGTGCCTGTGAAGAGATGTTTCCGCTACTGTCAGTGTAGGTCTCAGTCAAACTCGAGCTGGATTGAGCTTCCCTGTACCCAGGAAATATAGGAGAATGAGTCTTCTGTTCCGTGGGAACTGGTAACCTAGGGTGCAGGATCTCCATAGGCATCCCCTTTTCTCCCCCCCCCCCCCTTCCCTGCAGGCAGACCTCTATCACCAGACTCTACCATGCAAGTCTGGTGAGACTGTGCAGGAGTAGGGTTCTCCCCTTGAACTGGGTGCTGGTCATTAGTCCTGTCCTGGCTCATGTGTTGGGAGAAGGTCCAGGGAAAGCTAAGATGCTAGCCAGCTTTGGACGCTCTGCAGGCAGGCAGAACACTCCATTTCTCTTTGCTCCCTCCCTGCAGCTGTACAGCAATTGTTAAAGATTTTTATTACTGCAACATAAGGCCAGGAGGGGAAATCTCTCAGCTTTTACTTTTCTTTTTTGTTTTTAATTGTACATGCTTGTGCTAAGTTGCAGGTTGGTTTTTTTTTTGTGTGCTGATTCTGTTCTTAATAAAGAGATTAAACTTTCCACAAGAGGTTATAAAATAAAATTCTGTTCTTTGGCAAATGTCCATGTGTACTTGTCACTGAGGTTGCCAGCTGGCAGGTTTTTGACCAGCCTTGCCGATGTTTGTACTGCCTTGCTGGTTAAAAGATTGAATGTACAGTTTGTTTTTTTTCACTGGGGCCAACATTCCCTGTAAGCTGTGTGCATGCATTGCAACATAGTGATCTGGTAACTACAGTGCATGCCATGAGTCTGGCAGCATGGTCAGCACCCAGCTCTGGCTCTGTCGGGCTGGGCTCTGCAACTGCCAAAACCACAATGGCTCCTCTTGGTGCCAGGAAACAGGACAGACCCAAGGCTTGCCCACTGGGGTGGGGGCAAATGTCCCTGGGGGAGAGGGGGCAGTAAGAGGGCTCCCTCGTGGGCTCAGGTGTGGGAAGTGTCCAGTGCAGGGATGGGCAAACATTTTGGCCCAAGGGCCACTTTGGGGAATAAAAATTGTATGGGGGGCCATGAATGCTCACAAAATTGGGGTTGGGGTGTGGGCTTTGGGGTGCAGGCTTTGGAGTGGGATGAGAGGTTTGGGGTGCAGGAGGGTGCTCTAGGCTGGGATCAAGGGGTTTGGAGAGCGGGAGGGGGATGGGGTATGGGGAGAGGCTTTGGGGGTACAGGCTCTGAGCGGCGCTTACTTCAAGAGGCTCCCGGAAGCAGTGGCATGTCCCTTCTCCAGCTCCTACATGGAGGCACTGCCAGGCGGCTCTGCACGCTGCCCCACCCGCAAGCACCTACCCTGCAGCTCCCATTGGAGCGTGTAAGAGCCAAAGTGGGGCCATGCCATGGCTTCCAGGAGCCGTGTGGTGCGGTCCCCGACCCAGCACCCCGGCCGGAGTGGGGCCGAGCCATGGGGTGCAGCTCACAGGCTGGCTTAAACAGCTCGTGGGCTGGATGCGGGCTGTGGTTTGCCCACCCCTGGTCCAGTGGCTGGTGGTTCTGCATCTCAAAGATGGCAACTCCATTTGTCACTGGAGGAACTGTCATTTCAAGAGAGACCATCCATTGCTGGAGATGAGACAAGGAGATTCCAAGTTTATGCCGCTTTGGAACTGTCTGACCGTGTTCAGGAAAGGTGATGTTAGCGTCATTATTAAACAACCAAACCGCAAGCTCAAGGGAAGAGGGAAAAGATGTGAATTTATGGTGACTGACTGGAAGGGCAAGGAAGTCATGGGGCTTGAAGAACTATCAGTAATAATAATCCTAATACTGAATAATATCACATGTAATGCCAATCTATGTAAGATTGTATAATACTGTACCTTCATCAACACACGGTGTGAGTGCTCATTTACAGACATGCAGTTTTGCAAAATGACCACGAGGGAGCAGCAAATTAACACAAAACACTGAAGTGGTTCTAGATAGAAATGTAGGTGAGAAAGTCTGTTCTTTGCTAACACCCCAAAAGGTGGGTTGAAAAGAATAATGCTCCAATATTAAATGGGTATAGTTAAGCTGGGGCCTGGCTGTGGGTGTTTCAGGGGAAGGAGCCTGGACAATTGTGTGGGCCCCTTTAGGATCAGACCTGGAGCTGGGGTGTGGGAAGGACAAGCAGTAAAGCAAGTCTCCTGCTGAGGTCAGCTACTGGCCTGTGATGAGAGGGGGCATATGCAGTGAGATCAGGCATGGGGTGGCAAACAGGAGGTGTGGGGTGCAAGACTTTTGAGGGGCTTTTCAGCTAAAATGGTGACTTGGTATTCTTTGCCATGACAAAGCCATCATTTTGGCCATGCCAGCCAGCCAGTACATAAGCCAGGTTTAAACAGCACCTTAGCTCCATCCATGCTAAAGCGTAGCTAAGCGATAAAACTCTGCTGACCCTTTGAGCTCTGGGCTGTAGAACAGCTGGGAAGCACTGCAGTCTGAGTACGGCAGCACGGCCCTGTCAGCACAGGCTTTGATGGGCAGCCTGTAATGAAGCCTCGGAGTGGATGCCCACAGCACTTTTTCTCTCAGTGTGCACTCCAGGCAGAGTAGAATCTGGTGTGTTAACAGCTGATGCATCAGTTTCTTGCCCACAGCTACCTACTGGCAGGGACAGGAGCCTGCTAGGCCAGGGTGATACAACACCCTGAAACGCTTCCTACATCCCCAGAAAATCCCTCAGCCCTGTGGGGTTTTTGAAAGCAAACTTTCTCAGAAATGCAACAGCAGCGCACACCCATCAAGGCTTCTAATATCGCCAGCTCACAGAAGCTGTGAGGGTAAAATGTTCTGAAAGATGGGTGACTTTGCTCCTGTATGTTCCACCTCCTATGAAAGGCCAGCCAATTTCTGCTGTGCTTGTAACCTGGCCTTGTGCCTATCTCTGCTAAGCAGGGTCAGGTTTGATGAGTATTTGGGGAGGAGACTTCTAAGAAACGCTTGTCGCAAGTTCAGGCTGTGGTGTGCAGGTGGCACTCTCCATTCTGTGTCAGAACTGATGCAGCGCTCCAACATGGGGCTGGAGGTATTGTGCGGCTGGAGGCTCTGACTTTCATAAAACATAAAAACAAGTTACTGACTATTCATGACCCTCTCCCTGTAGGACCCTTGGCCAGCTCCCTAGGGTGTTAGCCACAGAATCCTGGGCACGTTCCGACATAGATAATTCTATCCTGTTTCCCTAAATGCCCCTGTAGTACTGACTCCATAGCCTGCTGTGTCCTGTTGCTTTGTGGTGCATTCCAGTTGCTGTTTTCCACTCCAGAGGTGACTGTATTTCAGTGGTGACCAAGGTGAGTCCTATATGGATTTTGTCAGAGTTTGTCAGGTGCTGTGGGCCCCTTCCGTATAAAAGTTGCTAGTGAAGTGTAAATTAATATTATCTATTCTGAGACCAGAATAACTTGGCATTTTCTCCAGAGTTTGCCTCCCTTTATAAGAGCCGCCTGCACCTCTCCGTCATGCCCAGCTGTTGACAGGAAAGCAGTGTGCTCCTCTGGTGATTGGATAAATGAGCCATGTACTCCTCGCCTCCTTATTCAAGTGCCATGAGATGCAATGAGAAATAGGAAAGGCTAGACAGCTCAAGTATGGACCCAGAATGTTTTCACTGAGCCTGGCATCTTGCCTTCTAGCTCCCATCCATCTGCTGCTATATCCCCGAGGATGGCTGACGTTGCAGGGGAGATGTGCCAATTAAAAGTGCTGCTCCATTGTCAACAGGGGGGGAAAAGATAATCACCCTGCATGTGGCCATGCTAGTGGTGCAGTTCTCTGTCCTAGTGTCTCACGCTCTGGGCTTGCAAGGTCATGAAGGCTAGCTCTAGCAATTATTGCTCTATGTTGCCGGGTACAAGATTCCAGTTCCATTTTCTGCCCCAGTCTCTCACATCAGATGGAAGGAGTACTGGGGCTAACAGGCTGTATTTACAAGCTATGGGACAGCTCCAGTAGGCTTAGAGCTGGCAGATGGAAGCAGAAGAAGTCAGGGAGATCTGGACGTGGGCAGGCGAAACTGACTTGTAAAGCTAGGGCCAATTTATAGCAGCAAATAGGGCTCTTAAACCACCAGGCCATTGATCAGATCCTATTATTACCCCTCTGCTCTAATAGTAGATGGAGGAGAGAGTCTCTACATGAGCACTAGCGACAGCATGGTGCCGTAGCTGCTCCTTCCAGCTACTGTCAATCAATCAGCTACAAGAAATGCTCTGGGACTTGTTCTAGTAATCACTGTGGGGGGAAGTGCCATGGTCTGTGTTAGACAGGAGGGCAGATGAGATGATCACAATGGTCCCTTCTGGCCTGGGAATCTGTGAGAAGGTGCTGAGTCTGCAATGAACCTCTGTGATGTGTCTGGCAGAAGTG